TAAGTTCAAATTTTAATAACATCGTTTGACCTTGACTTTATTTTGATTTCTTTGCAAGCAACTTTTTTATTAACATTTTCTGATTATAGATTTTGCGTAAATTTAATGAGAATGCTGATAAATTTTTTATTAATACAATTTTGTTTCAAATAAAATATCTAAGGAATTACCGCCTCTGCTTGAAACCCAAAACCCGGCTTTTATCCATAAAATTTGTTTAAGCATTAATCTACATCACTAAACATATAGCACGTCTCTGGTTTTTTCGCATTATGATTATGGACTAGATTATAGGCGAGAGTATGGCCCAGACAATAGTCCTGACTATAGACAAGACTTTAGCTCTTATTATTGCTAAGACTTTAGCCCCCACTACAGACTAGACTATAGTCGTGATTAAGTACTATACTAAATAACTGACTGGGCTATAGACTGGGCTATAGTCCTGATTATAGATTACACTATATACTACATAATAGCCTAGACAATAGCTCTGACTATAGCGTAGACTACAGTAGTGGCTATAGATTTGGCTATATCCATAACTATAAACTGGACGATGTTTCTGACTATAGCCTGGAAACTGTAGTCTATATTCCAGACTGTAGAGTCAAATTTGGTGCTGACTACAGACTAGACTATAGACTAGACTATAGACTAGACTGTGGACTAGACTATGGACTAGACTATGGACTAGACTATAGAATAGACTACAGATTAGTCTATAGACTATAGACTAGTATAGACTAGTCTAGACTATAGACTGGACTATAGACTAGACTATAGACTAGACTATAGACTAGACTATAGACTAGACTATAGACTAGACTATAGACTAGACTATAGACTAGACTATAGACTAGACTATAGACTAGACTATAGACTATAGACTAGACTATAGACTAGACTATAGACTATATACTAGACTATAGACTAGACTATAGACTAGACTATAGACTAGACTATAGACTATATACTAGACTATAGACTAGACTATAGACTAGACTATAGACTAGACTATAGACTAGACTATAGACTAGACTATAGACTAGACTATAGATTAGACTATATACTAGACTATAGATTAGACTATAGACTAGACTATAGACTAGATTATAGACTAGACTATAGACTAGACTATAGAATAGACTATAGACTACTAGACTAGACTATAGACTAGACTATAGACTAGACTATAGACTAGACTATAGACTAGACTATAGACTAGACTATAGACTAGACTATAGACTAGACTATATACTAGACTATAGACTAGACTATAGACTAGACTATAGACTAGACTATAGACTAGACTATAGACTAGACTATAGACGAGACTATAGACTAGACTATAGACTAGACTATAGACTAGACTATAGACTAGACTATAGACTAGACTATAGACTAGATTATAGACTAGACTATAGACTAGACTATAGACTAGACTATAGACTAGACTATAGACTAGACTATAGACTAGACTATAGACTAGACTATAGACTAGACTATAGACTAGACTATAGACTAGACTATAGACTAGACTATAGACTAGACTATAGACTAGACTATAGACTAGACTAGACTAGACTATAGACTAGACTATAGACTAGACTATAGACTAGACTATAGACTAGACTATAGACTAGACTATAGACTATAGAGACTAGACTATAGACTAGACTATAGACTAGACTATAGACTAGACATAGACTAGACTATAGACTAGACTATAGACTAGACTATAGACTAGACTATAGACTAGACTATAGACTAGACTATAGACTAGACTATAGACTAGACTATAGACTAGACTATAGACTAGACTAGACTATAGACTAGACTATAGACTAGACTATAGACTAGACTATAGACTAGACTATAGACTAGACTATAGACTAGACTATAGACTAGACTATAGACTAGACTATAGACTAGACTATAGACTAGACTATAGACTAGACTATAGACTAGACTATAGACTAGACTATAGACTAGACTATAGACTAGACTATAGACTAGACTATAGACTAGACTATAGACTAGACTATAGACTAGACTATAGACTAGACTATAGACTAGACTATAGACTAGACTATAGACTAGACTATAGACTAGACTATAGACTAGACTATAGACTAGACTATAGACTAGACTATAGACTAGACTATAGACTAGACTATAGACTAGACTATAGACTAGACTATAGACTAGACTATAGACTAGACTATAGACTAGACTATAGACTAGACTATAGACTAGACTATAGACTAGACTATAGACTAGACTATAGACTAGACTATAGACTAGACTATAGACTAGACTAGTAGACTAGACTATAGACTAGACTATAGACTAGACTAGACTATAGACTAGACTATAGACTAGACTTAGACTATAGACTAGAATATAGACTAGACTATAGACTAGACTATAGACTAGACTAGACTATAGACTAGACTATAGACTAGACTATAGGCTAGACTATAGACTAGACTATAGACTAGACTATAGACTAGACTATAGACTAGACTATAGACTAGACTATACTAGACTAGACTATAGACTAGACTATAGACTAGACTATAGACTAGACTATAGACTAGACTATAGACTAGACTATAGACTAGACTATAGACTAGACTATAGACTAGACTATAGACTAGACTATAGACTAGACTATAGACTAGACTATAGACTAGACTATAGACTAGACTATAGACTAGACTATAGACTAGACTATAGACTAGACTATAGACTAGACTATAGACTAGACTATAGACTAGACTATAGACTAGACTATAGACTAGACTATAGACTAGACTATAGACTAGACTATAGACTAGACTATAGACTAGACTATAGACTAGACTATAGACTAGACTATAGACTAGACTATAGACTAGACTATAGACTAGACTATAGACTAGACTATAGACTATAGACTAGACTATAGACTAGACTATAGACTAGACTATAGACTAGACTATAGACTAGACTATAGACTAGACTATAGACTAGACTATAGACTAGACTATAGACTAGACTATAGACTAGACTATAGACTAGACTATAGACTAGACTATAGACTAGACTATAGACTAGACTATAGACTAGACTATAGACTAGACTATAGACTAGACTACAGACTAGACTATAGACTAGACTACAGACTAGACTATAGACTAGACTATAGACTAGACTATAGACTAGACTATAGACTAGACTATAGACTAGACTATAGACTAGACTATAGACTAGACTATAGACTAGACTATAGACTAGACTATAGACTAGACTATAGACTAGACTATAGACTAGACTATAGACTAGACTATAGACTAGACTATAGACTAGACTATAGACTAGACTATAGACTAGACTATAGACTAGACTATAGACTAGACTATAGACTAGACCTATAGACTAGACTATAGACTAGACTATATAGACTAGACTATAGACTAGACTATAGACTAGACTATAAGACTAGGACTATAGACTAGACTATAGACTAGACTATAGACTAGACTATAGACTAGGACTATAGACTAGCCTTATAGACTAGACTAATAGACTAGACCTATAGACTAGACTATAGACTAGACTATAGACTAGACTATACTAGACTATAGATAGACTATAGACTAGACATGACTAGACTATGACTAGACATAGACTAGACTATAGACTAGACTATAGACTAGACTATAGACTAGACTATAGACTAGACTATAGACTAGACTATAGACTAGACTATAGACTAGACTATAGACTAGACATAGCTGACTATAGACTAGACTATAGACTAGACTATAGACTAGACTATAGACTAGACTATAGACTAGACTATAGACTAGACTATAGACTAGACTATAGACTAGACTATAGACTAGACTATAGACTAGACTATAGACTAGAACTATAGACTAGACTATAGACTAAGACTATAGACTAGACTAGACTAGACTATAGACTAGACTATAGACTAGACTATAGACTAGACTATAGACTAGACTATAGACTAGACTATAGACTAGACTATAGACTAGACTATAGACTAGACTATAGACTAGACTATAGACTAGACTATAGACTAGACTATAGACTAGACTATAGACTAGACTATAGACTAGACTATAGACTAGACTATAGACTAGACTATAGACTAGACTATAGACTAGACTATAGACTAGACTATAGACTAGACTATAGACTAGACTATAGACTAGACTATAGACTAGACTATAGACTAGACTATAGACTAGACTATAGACTAGACTATAGACTAGACTATAGACTAGACTATAGACTAGACTATAGACTAGACTATAGACTAGACTATAGACTAGACTATAGACTAGACTATAGACTAGACTATAGACTAGACTATAGACTAGACTATAGACTAGACTATAGACTAGACTATAGACTAGACTATAGACTAGACTATAGACTAGACTATAGACTAGACTATAGACTAGACTATAGACTAGACTATAGACTAGACTATAGACTAGACTATAGACTAGACTATAGACTAGACTAACTAGACTAGAGTTTTGGCCTGACATTAGCCCAGACGATGGTCTAAGACTATAGTTTCAAACTCACTCTTTAAAATATACAATTTGATACAATCTCTCTGAAAAATTCTGGTCGTCAGATATTATGAGTAACTGTTTAAAGCAAACATGTTACACAGTTTTAAATAAAACTTTAACTATAAAGATAACGTCACTATAGCTTTTTAGAATAGAAATTTAATTACCAACCAAATACCACCAGCAACAAAATTTATGAAGTTGTCCAAAATTCACTAGTTTCGCCTTAAATGGTCACCTTAAAAGTCATTAATTAATTAAATATATTTATAGGAGATTTGCCTTTTTCATTAAATATTTGTATAATATTTTTTGTTAAATCTTCAAAGTCTATAAACGTACACGGTCTGAAACAAAACAAATAAAACGAGTTTTTTTTTATAAAAAATATATTTATGTATAAACATTTTGGTTTTATTAAAAAAGAATTCAATAATAATAATAATAATAATCGTTTAAAATTTTTACATACTCATTCATAGTTTTAAGCGTTAAAATGAAAAAATTCTTTAACAAAAAAATTATTAAAATATTTTTTTTGTGTTTTAATTATTTAAAAACTGGTTTTTTCACAGTTCTATTTTTACATATTAATTTAATAGTTTTTTTTTTTGTTTAATATTATTCATTTTAAATATTGTACATGTTTTTTATTGTTATTATTTTTGTGTTGGTTTTTTTTATCACATTCTTAGTTTAGTTTATAAAGAAAAATTAAGAAAACTTAATAAAAAATATATTCAGTTTTTAACCAATAGTAAAAAAAATTGTTATTTAAATTTTATGGCATAAATTTGCAAAAGAATTTAAAGAACAAATAAGAAATTTTAAATAAAACTAATAGAAAAAGAAAACTTAAATTTAACACTAGAGAGAACACTTAACACAACGGCCTGAAACTAGTAGAAATCAATAAATTAATTTAATTAAAGACGAATTAATTATTAAAATTAATTATGTTTAACTATTGAATAACCATAGAATACTTCTACGCCGTCTTCATTTTGTAAATATTCCAATTTTGGTGGTGGCAGGGAGAGAGAACGCGCTTCTGGCTCTACAGGCGCCGCTGTTGGTTCAACAGTAGTTGTTGCCATTTCATCTTCTTCCACTACAGTGGTTGAGTGTATATCCGTTTCCGTTGTCTCTTGTTTGTAAGTGTCATCATCATCACCATCTTCAATTTTCACTGTAGTGGTGGTGGCTGTTTGCCCACTTGCATCAACTGTCTGAGTTTGTGCATCATGTTCGGTTGTTGATTCCAATTGTTGCTGTTGTTCTTCCATAAATGCAGCCTGTGTTAAAGGTTCCTGTGTCTGTGTCTGCATTGTGGTGACTGAGTCTTCTTCGTTGTCTTCCTGTTGTTTGACAGTAGTGGTGTCCTTGTGTTCAATAAATGTAACCATTTCTTTTAGCGAGGTTTCAAACGTTGGCTGTGTAATAGCTTCCTCCATTGCCTCTGTAGTTGGGGTTGTTTCTGTGTGGATTTCTTTTATTTGTTCAGAATCTGAATGCAGTGCTGTAGGCTCTTGTATAGGCGCAACTGTGTTTTGTTCATTGTCCGGAACGAGAGAAACACTATTGAGGTCTTTTTGCAAAGTTACATGGGCCAGTAGGGGTGTAGGGGTAGTTTCTGCAATGTCTGTTGAAAAGTTAAAGAAAATATTTAATTATTTATGTATTATATTTGATTGTTTATTTGGTGGTTTAATGCTATACTAGATTTTGATTTAAATTTTTAATAATTCAAAAAATATATATCCATTTTTTGGGGTTTTGTCAGAAACGTTTTTAGGAAATACTATATAGAAGCTTTCTAATTGCTTTAGCTTCCATCGCTTTTTTGCTTGTTTTTTTAGGGAAAGCCTAAAATTTTTTTTTATTTTTTCGGAAATTTCTTAAACATAGGGGTGTTCACCTAGGGTACGAACATCAGACCCATACCATTATATATGATACCCCGAAGAGTTTCAAAAGTTGTTGATCTTTTGTGAATAGAATTTGAAATAGCTTCAGCGCACAGTGGTATAGGAAAAAAAAAAGAGGGAAATAATTCGGTAACTTCTAAACGGTTAATCCGATTTTAATGAAATTTGGTATGCACAAAGAGGAGGTGTTGTCGAGTTTAGGTTTTGAATTTGGACCTTATAGGCCAACCAGGGGCCCGTCGGGGGGTCCTCAAATTAGGACACCTCGGCTATGTTAAATTTTTAAAACGATCCTATTTCTTCATTTGAGTTCCGATTTAAAAAAAATTTCGTATATAGAATCTCCTCATCGAGCACTATAAAAAATGTCGTCGTAGCAGTAAATTATCTCTTATAGTTTAGGAGATATTCGCATTTGAATATTAAAATTTTAAAATTTTTACCGTCCTTACTTTAGTTTTTTTGATAATAGCAGGTCCAAATATTTCCGATTTTCGCCATTTTTTTTTATTTGCTTAACAACAAGTTTATATACCAAGCAGTGAAAGAATTATGTAAAAATCATGACTGAGTCCAAAGTTATAGGCATTTAAATTTAAAAAATTAAAAAAAGGCGATTTTTTGTCATTTTTTTGGGAAAAAAGTATCTTTTTCTTTTTAAGTTATCTAAAAAGTTTCTAAGAAGATGTATATAGAATTTATACTTTTTGGAAAGCTGACTTTACATAAAATACGATAAATGAAACAAAACCTAAAAATTTTTGATACCGAGGGGACCAGGTCCATCCAAAAAAACCCTATTTTTTATGGAAAATTAAATTTTGAGCAAAAATTCTCAAATCGCATAGTCGATATCAAATTATAGTGACCTGTTTTATATGACCCAATATGTTCTTAATCATTTTGTAACGGGTTTCGATAACCCCGCCCCTGGTATGGATATAATAGGCAAAAAACTAAAAAATCCCATTTTTGGGATTTTTTAAAACTTTTTTGGGAATTCCGGGATTTCTAATAAGAAAATTCGAAATTTTGATTTAATTTTGGATTTTAAGTAAAAAAATCTACCTAACTGTAAAATTTCATCAAAAAATATTCATAAATAAAATTTTTATTGCAATTTGAAAAATTTGTATCTTCGCAAAAACTGAATAAAAAACATTTTTTAATTTTTTTTAAAAAAAGTATTCCGCGAATTTTTTAATTTTCAAAAATTATATACAGTTTTGAAAAATAGACAAAATTACCTTTCCATTGATATTTCATCCATATATGTAACAAATTTAAGAGTTAACCTTATGGATGAAAATAATACTGCTAGGCAAATTTTCTAAAAGATGTTGAGTTTTCCCTAATTAATTTGTCACTTAAAAAACATTAGGTAGGCATGTTATATATCAATGGAAAGGTAATTTTGTCTATTTTTCAAAACTGTATATAATTTTTGAAAATTAAAAAATTCGCGGAATACTTTTTTTAAAAAAAATTAAAAAATGTTTTTTATTCAGTTTTTGGGAAGATACAAATTTTTCTAATTGCAATAAAAATTTTATTTATGAATATTTTTTGATGAAATTTTACAGTTAGGTAGATTTTTTTACTTAAAATCCAAAATTAAATCAAAATTTCGAATTTTCTTATTAGAAATCCCGGAATTCCCAAAAAAGTTTTAAAAAATCCCAAAAATGGGATTTTTTAGTTTTTTGCCTATTATATCCATACCAGGGGCGGGGTTATCGAAACCCGTTACAAAATGATTAAGAACATATTGGGTCATATAAAACAGGTCACTATAATTTGATATCGACTATGCGATTTGAGAATTTTTGCTCAAAATTTAATTTTCCATAAAAAATAGGGTTTTTTTGGATGGACCTGGTCCCCTCGGTATCAAAAATTTTTAGGTTTTGTTTCATTTATCGTATTTTATGTAAAGTCAGCTTTCCAAAAAGTATAAATTCTATATACATCTTCTTAGAAACTTTTTAGATAACTTAAAAAGAAAAAGATACTTTTTTCCCAAAAAAATGACAAAAAATCGCCTTTTTTTAATTTTTTAAATTTAAATGCCTATAACTTTGGACTCAGTCATGATTTTTACATAATTCTTTCACTGCTTGGTATATAAACTTGTTGTTAAGCAAATAAAAAAAAAATGGCGAAAATCGGAAATATTTGGACCTGCTATTATCAAAAAAACTAAAGTAAGGACGGTAAAAATTTTAAAATTTTAATATTCAAATGCGAATATCTCCTAAACTATAAGAGATAATTTACTGCTACGACGACATTTTTTATAGTGCTCGATGAGGAGATTCTATATACGAAATTTTTTTTAAATCGGAACTCAAATGAAGAAATAGGATCGTTTTAAAAATTTAACATAGCCGAGGTGTCCTAATTTGAGGACCCCCCGCCGGGCCCCTGGTTGGCCTATAAGGTCCAAATTCAAAACCTAAACTCGACAACACCTCCTCTTTGTGCACACCAAATTTCATTAAAATCGGATTAACCGTTTAGAAGTTACCGAATTATTTCCCTCTTTTTTTTTTTCCTATACCACTGTGCAGCGCTTTCGCTCTTTAATTTAAGTCAGAGAACTGCTCTCGATAGCGCAAACTTTCCCATTCAATTGCTATCATTCTGGTAGATCCCAGTTAGTACCTAGCTGCCTTGAATTCACTTTGTTTTGCCTAAAATATTAACCAGAACACGGGCAGTCAAAAAAGATATGTCTCAGAGTACATAATGTCCCGAAGATTAACAAAACATTCTTAACTACCAAATGACAAGCACTCTAGAATTGAAGCATCTTCTTAATCATATAAAATATAGTTTTTGCTCAGATCTTTTCACTAGTGAATTTAGGGAACTCTTAAAAGATAGTCACTTCCACTGGGCTAACTTGTTGACCCTAATTTATATATATTGAGTTAGTCGGCATCAATGTACTCATCATAAACGAGAGCGAAAAGTACATTCGTTCTCCTTTACACTAGATACTAAGCGGCCATTGACTCCACCTTAGACAGGTCTATCTTAAAATAGCTAGTTATACTCTGCAAGAATTATCGGAGTACATGATCCCAATTGATAATCTAAAAACTACTTTCCTACAAACGTTATTGGAATATATTATCCGTTTGGTAGTCCTAAGCACTTCAGTCATGGACCATGTTTAATTTTTGTAAACAACGTGATCCATAGCTTGCTTTACACAGGAACATATTGGGGATTATGTAATCCCTCAATTTTAGCAAGGGAGAAGTTTTGGTATTAGTCTGATGTAATGGATGGAAGGCTTACGTGGTCATCACCTGTGACATCACATCTTATATGTATATAGATTAATCTTGGATCAGTTCTAGTCTTTTGCGGAGTACTCTATTTGCCCTGTATATGTAGTTAGTAAAGTTGCTAGTTAAAGCGTTAGTAATGTGACTGACTCCTCCTAACCGTTCATTGATTTCTTGGGACTAGCTTAATGTAATATATAAGCTGCTAATTGACTTCCTCTTAGGATATGCCCACATCATAATAACTATTCAGATTTCTAGTAGTGACCTTAATGCCCAATGGAACTTGATCGTGTATGGCACGATGTGCTGAAAACTAAACTTATATCGTTTGGTATAAGACACGAATGCTCTCCCGTATATTTCAAACTTTCTTCGCGAACTTGCCATTCCATAAAAGAAAGTGTTAGTTCTTATGACTATGTCTTGATTTGGGGTTCTTTAGGAATTCATACCGTTTGCCGTGTCGTTATACATATAATAAAATATTGATAGAATTTCCCGATAACTCTAGCATTTAATCGAAAATTCTATCAATACCAAGACCTTTCTTAAAACCAGGAGATAAAGTCCACCTTGTTGTAAATAAAATAGGTTGTATGTTTCATCAAAAATACTTACATTCTGTTGTAGTCTTCACACGTTCAGCACTACTTTCTTTAACAATATTTTCAGCCATAGGAGCTAAAGCTTCTTTTACATCATCATCATTATTAATAGTAGTAACCTCTACGAAACTTTCACCAAATTTAACATCCTCCTGCTCTTGATTTCCACTCTTAATTTCCTCTTCAACTGGTAACATGGTAGTCAAATCGATAGGAGTTTCAGTGGTTTGTTCCATTTTAATCACACTTTCTGGCATTTCTGATAACTGACTAGATTGCTCCTTAACCATTTGCATTTCTGTGCTGGTAGCTACAGGAGATTCTATATAGTTGTCAGCAAATTTGTCTACAAAATTTTGATTTATAACACCAATACGATGAGGTTCTTCAGTTTTAAAAGATTCTTCTAATACAGCATCTGTCTTATCTTGGTTGTCGTCTACATCTGGCATCATAGTCGTATGTTGTTCGGATAAAGTTTGTTGTGTAGTTCCTGCTTCCGTTGTTGTTACTGTAGCTTCATTAAGTTCAGTCTTGAATATTGTTGTGGTGGCGCTGGTGGTCGTTTCTGGTCTCTCATGTTCAGCTCCCCAAACGGTGAACTTTTTGAAAGCTTCTTTAAGATTATTTTGGAACTCCTCGAAATGATGGTGTGTTGTTTCCTCTAAAGCCTTAACAGCCATTTGTAATTCTTCCTCAAACTTTTTGGGTAACATGGTAGTTTCTTCGAGCGATTGTGTTGTGGTAGTGGCGGGTTCTTCTTGATGAGTAGGGGCTGATTTAGTGCTAGGTGCTAAGGTGGTAGTTTCTTGTTGATTGGTTTCCAAAGCAGTTGCATGGCTCTCTTCATATTTGAGTTTTTCCTGTTCTATTAAGGTTTTTAAAGTATTTTCAAATTTATTTAAGGCATGAGTAGTTTCTTCTAAGACAACGACAGGCGAATTGGTGGTGGTAGTTTCTTGTGACATAGGAGCTAAGGTGGTGAACTCTTCAGTTTTGTCAAGGGAATCTTGATTTGGATTTTCACTTCCCTTTTCCTCATTAACTTGAGAGGGTTGTTCACTGTTTGTATTTTCTATAAGTTGTTTATTTTCAACGATTGATTCCTCACCTTGTGATGCTTGAGGTTCTTGTTCCGTCACAGTTTCGTTGGCTTCATTCGTTAATAGCTGTGGTTCAGAGTGATCGTTTGATTTTATGGATTCCACTTCAGCTTCTGGAATGGTAATTACAGCTACTGGTATATATTCAGCATATTTGGCAGATTGTTCCTCCTTCTTGTGTTTAATTTCTTCTGGAGTATGTTGCAAAACTTGTTGGTTGTAGTTCTCACTTTCCTTTGGAATATCTTCCTTATGTTCATGAAGTTCGTCCAAGGTTTTTGTTATATCTTCAGCAGGCTGAGAGAAACTTTCATATTTGCCAAATTGTTCTTCCTCCTTAGGCTTAATATCTTCTGGAGTTTGTTGTAAAACTTGTTGGGTGAAGTTTTCACCTTCCTTATGTTCATGTACTTCGTCCAAGGTTTTTGTTATATCTTCAGCAGGATAAGTGATACTTTCATTCTCAGCTGGAGTTGTTGATGAAACTTCAATGTTTTCATGATTTATAATCGAATATTTTGGAAAATCTCCTTGAAAAGTTACAATGGGAACTTGGGTACTCGAAATTTCTGAATCTTCTTCATTGTTTTGCTCCGCTGAACCAGTTGTTTCCACTACACTTTCATTGGGTTTATCGGTCGCTGTTTCTTGTTCACTTTTATTTGTAGAAAATAAATTGGAAACTGTTTGACCAAAGTTGCTACCAATTTCGGAACCTGCTTCTATTAAGGTCTCTACAGATCGGCCAAAGTTGGAATTTTCAGAATTTTGAGCTAACTCAGAATTGTTGTTCTGATTTTCAGCTAAATTTTCCAACGAAGCAGGAGTTGTCATGATGACTTCCTCAGTTTTATCTTCTATTTGGACCACAGGTGTATCAGTTTTATTGTCTTCCAAATTACCAGCAATTTCGTCGAGTTTTCCCACCAGCACATCTAAAGATTGTTCGAAGTTTGTAGAGGAATCAGTGCTTTCGGCTGCTTCTTTCACTTCTGTGGCAGGGGTAGTTGCTATATTAATGAGCTCGCTTAAAGGCTCGGTTGTTGTGGGAATTTCCTCAACTGGTTTTTCCTCTGGAATCAAGCCCAATTTGCTACCAATTTCCACAACTTCTTCTATAAAGGAATCAACTGCTTCTTTAAAAGTTGGGGCCTGTTCGGAGTTATCTTCATGTTCCGCAACTAATGGTTCTTGAGGTTCCGTCATATTTTCTTGCATAACGACTGGTGCTTCAGGATTAATTAAATTTTCCGTAGCTGCATGTATCATTGAAGCATCAAATCTTAATTCATCAGCTGCTTTTCCTATGCTACTACCAATATCTGTTACTTGATTTATGAAAGAATCTACAGTCTCTTTTAAGGCAGGAGTTTCACTGGATGTCTCTACTGGGTAACGATATGTTGTCTCCTCCATTGTAGATTGTTTGTCAACATTATTATTGATTTCAATGGGTGTAGACGAAATTTTTTCAGTTGTGGGAGTATAAGATTCTCCTAAATCATTAACGCTTGTCGACTCTTGATTACTTGCTGAAATTTCAGTCTGTTCCAGATTGCCTGTGTCTTCAATAGCTTTGTCTAGGAAATTTTCAACTAATTTTTCGGATAGATTATAAATTTGTTCCACATTTTCGTTTAAATTTTCCACAATTGTTGGGGTATTTGGAGTAGTAGTTTCAGGGTTAGATGCTTGAGTAGTATGTTCAACATTATTTTCAGAATCGGTAGAAACTTGTTCTGTTTCAAGTGCATTTAAAGTTCTTAAATTATTTTCTGTCATTTGGTCGGTTTTCTCTACAGATGTTTCCGTGGGCTCCACTGAAGTGTCTACATTTGTTGGGATAGTAATGACATCCTTAACAGTTTCTTCTTCCATTGAGGATTTCACATCGTTGTAGACAAATTCAGTAACTGCTGGTTCCGATAATATAATTTCTTCATTATTTCTAGACTCAGCATCGGCTGGCATTACATGCTCACTGCTGGAATGAACAGCATCTATAATTTCTGTTGAAATCTCTACTGGACTTTGAGTGGTTAGGGAAATCTCTTCAGGTTTAGTTTCCTCATGAGATATAATCGTATCAGAGTTTTTAATTGCACTAATTTGATCTCCATTTACCTCTGTTGTGGGAACTACTTCAGAAATTTGTTCGGTTGTTACTTTTTCAAAATTTGATTCCTTAACATTTTCTCTTTCAGCTGTAAAGTTTTGCAAATCTGCGGAGGTTTTCTGAGCATTCTCATTAAGACTTTCACTTAAATGTGAAAAGGTGCTGTTGATCTCATCTTCTGCTGTTTTAAGCAAAGTATCTGCTTGTTCAATGGTGCCATTTAAATTGTTATTAATGGAACCGTTTAAAATATTTTGATCCACTTGAAAATCATCTTTGGCTTCCAACAGATCTATGGGTGCAGCCCAAATGTTGGTGAAAAGTTTTAGAATTAAAAGCAGCAGAAACCAATTCATTTTTCAATAATTGTTTTAATATTTTTTTTTAATTTTAATGTCACCAAGTTTTTCTATAACACTGTGTTGCCAAATGTAGTTTTTGAAATCCAGAGCCGTTTTAATTTTTGTTTAATTTATTTGTTGTTTTAAATTAGTTGATATTTTTCCGAAAAATCTGTTGAAATTAGATAAAATAATAATTAGATTTATAGGAAGGACGAAAATTTTAATTTGTTTAAATATAATGTTTATATTTATTGTTATTTTTATCACTTTTTTGAATTTTTGTTTATTTTGTCATCAATTAATATTAATTTATATGATCAAAATTATATAAAACGTCAAATGTCAGTTGGAAATTTTACCCGATTTTAGTACCAAACAAACCAAACCAACAGGAGGGGTCTATTTTCAACATTTATTTTGATAAATGATATATAATTGTAAACTCCCTAACTAGGCTTATGTCATATTTTTTCCCGATTGGACCAGTCATATCTAATTTCCGAAAAGGATATTATGCCCTACTGTACATCTACATACATATATACAAATTGATGTGTTTGTATGTATATATGTATGTATGTTTATTTGAAGTCGACTAAACGGCTAAACTGATTTTCTTTAAAAACAGTATGTTCATATATGCCTGGAAGGAAAAATAGGCTATTTTTAGAGTGCGAGATGCCACGCCCACTTACTATAACTTACAAATAACTATTAAAAGCCTTATATCTCGGAAACTGGTACAACTTGAGTCCGGACTACATTGCCACCTACATACATGAACATTCTGGGAAAAGATGGACGAACTAGCAATAGTGGGTGTGGCACATCCCACACCTATATTGCTAACGAATACTAAATGCCGTAAATTTGGAAAACTATAACAGCTACAGTTCCCAAATTTTGTACAATAAACTTTAGTGTCAATATGAAATTTTTTGTGCAATAATGGCCGGATCACGTCCCATATAAGGTTAGTACCAAAATTCGTATATCTGGAAAACTATAAAATTTGGAGTGCTCAAATTTTATCCGAACCACTTTGATATAAATATAAATATTTAAGACAAATATGGGCGGACTAGAAAAAGGGGTCGTGGTACATCCCATATGAATTATATATAAAAATTCGTATATCGGGGAAAGTATTGCAGCTAGAATATTCAAATTTTGCACAAACAATTTGTACATCCATGTAAGTATTTGCCTAATAATTTGACGGATTATGGGACATGGTATCTCTCATATGAATTAAATTAAAATATCGTATATCGAGGAAACTATTATAGATAGAATGCTCATAAATTTTCATGAACATTTTTGACATTAATGTAAACATTTATCTAATAAATTGGTGGTTCAGACTCCCACTTTATCAATTCTGCAACACGTTCCACTAGAAAGGGTTCCTTTAAAAATGATTCTATTAGAATCGTTTTTTAGCAAAAAACTAATGCTCACGATAATTTTGAGAACAGGTTACTATTTCGTAAATTCTATAAAAGGTTCCACTAGACCCGATACCTCTGAAACTGGTTTCACTAGAATCTGTTGTTTTTTTATCAATTTATTACAGTGTTTCTAGGGTAGCAAAGCACACTGGGTATAGGTAGTAATAAATAAGACCAAAAAACTCTTAAAGAAAAAGATCTAAGTATAATTGGTGCAAATTTCGGAAGATATCGGTTTCAAATTTTGACATGAAATCCTCTCTATCTATAAATCGAATATAAGCCTGGTAGACCGGAGATGGTGGACTCGTTTTCCATCTGAGCCACTGGTAAAGGAGCGTACTACAGGCCCGATAAAAGCCTTGGTGTAGTTCTTTGGATTTTAAGTATCGGAATAGATTAAATGAATTTATTGTTATTTATTATTTATCACGATTTATTTGCAATTGGTTACACTGTGCAGCAGTTAAAGGTTACATTTTCATAAAACGGGGATTTAATTAAAATATTTAATTTTTTTATTAATAAAAACACGATTTTTTCTATTTTTAAATATTTTTTATCTTAAACTTTAAATATTTTTGTTTAATTTTAACGGTATCTTTTTTTTGTTTTAAATTAAATTGATTTACAATTGTTTTAATAAAATACCAGTTTTGCTTGTTCTGTTTATTTTTTTTTTAATTTTAACAAAAATTGTTTAACATTTATTTTATTTATTTAATTTTATATTAAAACTTAATATTTTTTTAAAAAAATATAAAATTTTTTTTACACTTTAAAATTTTCAATTTCATGTAAATTATGTTTTAATTACAGTATTTGCTTTTTTTTATTTCAATAAACTTTATTTTTTTCACCCGTTCTTCCGTATTTGTAAATCTTGTCGTTTTAACATTTAATCGCTTTTAGGTTTTAACAAATTTTCTACTCGTTTTAAATAAATCTACTTTATTATATTTATTTTCTTTGTATACAAAATTGTTGTATTTAATATATATTTTTACTTTTTTCTGTTGTTGTTTTAATCTTTTTCATATATTTATATATTTTCTTGTTCAAACTCAACACAACGTGCAGCCACTTTGGTATCAGGTTTTTGTCTGACTAGTTGAATTTACTTTGAGGAACTAAACCGCATGTTTGGAATTTTAGCGTTTTTATGCTCATTTAAAAAAAAAATTATACAAAAAGAAAAAAATTATACAAAATTGTCAAGAAAACAAAGACACTACAACGGCGGCTATAATACCAATAAAATATGTATGTTTAAAGTTTAAGCCCCAAATCAAAGAAAATATGATGGTGATCGTTTTAATTATAACCCGATCTGTTTGCAAAAATGTATGTAAATTTTTTAAATCTGCCGTTAAAGAAAAGCTTTTCCTTTAACTTTTGTTTTAATTGTTGGATTTAAATATTATCATATGTTAAAAATATATCTAACGGTTTTTTTTTCTTAAATCTCAAGCCGGTTTTTGTGCTCTCAAAATGTTCTCTTGTGTTCTCAGAATGGTTTTGAAATTAATGAAAATATTGTTGAAATTTTATTTTTCAATTTTATAGTTTAAACTTGTAAAAATTCACTTTTCTTTACATATTTTCAAACCAGTTTTACACGAGTTTTTTGTATTTTTTTGCATTTTAACATTTGTAATTCTTTGACTGCGTTCCAAACCACCTTTTAGTTCGTGCCATACAATTGGAAATATTGGGTTGGTGCACAAGTAATTGACAAATTTGCAAATTTTACTGGACTACACATCATGTCGTTTTCTGAATTGATTTAACGATGTCCGTCCGTCCGTCCGTCCGTCTGTCTGTCTGTCTGTCTGTCTGTCTGTCTGTCTGTCTGTCTGTCTGTCCATCCATCCATCCGTTTGTCTGTCTGTGTGTCCATGAAATAAAACTGTAAATCGAAATTTTCAATATAATTTGGTTTAAGGACGAAGCCTATTTCATATTGTTAAAATCATTCCGAATTTTTCATAGTCTCTTTCAGTAAATCTGTTTTTCATCAATAACTTTATTTACATTACAACTAAACGAAATCACCTTTTCTCCCATCTAACTAAATTCTTGTTTTTTGTCTTTATTATTATTATTTATTTAATTTTTTCCTTTAATATAAAAAAAAACAAACCCATTCAATCAATACTAATAAATTTGCTAATATTGCTTTGCCTTCGTTAAAAGTCATATTCTTAGAAAATGTGGCTACTAATGTGGACTTTTGTAAGAAATAACTGCTAAAATTAAACGAAACAAAAGTATATTAAAACTAGTTTTAACCGCCAAATATGTTTATAATCTCGCAACGAATGACTCAGTTTATTTGTTGTACAATCATAATATTTTAAAGAATTTAATAGTTGATATATTAATATTTGTATTAACAAGATCGGCAGCTTGCTGGTCTGTCTGGTGTTAAGATATTAGGGGGATTGTTTTTATAGGTTTAGATTGCTCGCAGAAACATATGCTGAATGTTTTCTATCTGTGAAAACTCTGTAGACCAACCGTCTATTCGTCTGTATAGAAGCTTAAAGAGATAATAGACATGACCTAAATTTCCTATTTATAAGTTTTTTTTTGGTTTGGTGTATTGGTTGTAATCGCTCAAAAAGGACTTAGAACTAAATGGATATATACCATTAAAAGAAATTGGGAAGGTTGGAGTCTTAACAAGGAAAATTAGAATTCAAAATTCTACGTTATTTACTTGAAGTCAAAACAATTTGAGGATCGTCAAACCTATACATTAGACGACCGTCTACTAAACAAAAGAATATTGTTCACTTTATACAATAGACTAATCTATACACTAGACACTAAATAGTACATTTTAGACATTAAAGGATCGTCACTCTCTATACATAATGACCAACTAATCTCTACACTAGACGATCTATCTATCTATCTATCTATCTATCTATCTATCTATCTATCTATCTATCTATCTATCTATCTATCTATCTATCTATCTATCTATCTATCTATCTATCTATCTATCTATCTATCTATCTATCTATCTATCTATCTATCTATCTATCTATCTATCTATCTATCTATCTATCTATCTATCTATCTATCTATCTATCTATCTATCTATCTATCTATCTATCTATCTATCTATCTATCTATCTATCTATCTATCTATCTATCTATCTATCTATCTATCTATCTATCTATCTATCTATCTATCTATCTATCTATCTATCTATCTATCTATCTATCTATCTATCTATCTATCTATCTATCTATCTATCTATCTATCTATCTATCTATCTATCTATCTATCTATCTATCTATCTATCTATCTATCTATCTATCTATCTATCTATCTATCTATCTATCTATCTATCTATCTATCTATCTATCTATCTATCTATCTATCTATCTATCTATCTATCTATCTATCTATCTATCTATCTATCTATCTATCTATCTATCTATCTATCTATCTATCTATCTATCTATCTATCTATCTATCTATCTATCTATCTATCTATCTATCTATCTATCTATCTATCTATCTATCTATCTATCTATCTATTACTATCTATCTATCTATCTATCTATCTATCTATCACTATAGTATCGTCCAGTGTAAAGATCAAGAAGATTGTTTCGTCTATTCTATACACTGTAGTATCGTCCACTAAATAATAAAATATCGTTTACTCTATGCACTGGACGATCATGTACTTAAAAAAGTTTCAAAGAATATAAAAATAAAACGGTCAAGTCAATAGAGCTGATAACAGTTTTTATATAAAATCTACTTAAATCAAATTCCAAAACAGAGTGGATATTCATTAACACTTTTTAAACGATCAAGAAATTTTTTTTGAAAAACGCAAAAATTCGATAATTTTTCAAAAGTATTTCCCATCTCCGAGATAATATATTCAGGTTCTTTTCATCATAAAATGTTATATTTGATCTTGAAAAAATTTTATGTTTTAATTTATTGATTTTGACATGTTTTTTTCTATTAAATTAAAATCATCAGATTCATCAAATCATTTCTCTGGCATTTAACTTCCCAAACAATTTGTTGACCTTTAAAGATAAGACAAAAATTTCCACCTTTCTAAATCAAGTTTAGGTTTTAAACATACACTCACACCAAATACAAATAGTTTACACACAGGTGATTCAAACTTTATGAAATTACAATTCCAGTGAATTGTACAAACCGGTAGACAAAAAAAAAAACTACACTATAAAGTATACTTGTAAATAAAGCTAGTTAGACCAAGCGCTTAACTTAACTAAAATCCAAAAAAAAAAAATTATTTAATTCAAATTTCAATAATAATTTGACAATATTTTATTGTTGTTATTTCGCCGTCCAACTAGACATGAAAGAGGTGAATGAATAAAAAAACTAAATCCAGTTTGTTAAGAAAAATACAAACAAAACCGAGTTATTGCAAAAACTATTTACTTTATTGTGTTTTTTTCTTTCTTGGTGGATTAATACCTATTTAGTGTTGTTAATGTTAAGGTAACAAACCAACACACCTTTATTTACTGATAAAAGACACATTTATCATTAATTCACAATAATGATTGGCACACATTCACACTTACTTGAATTGGGTTCGTAAGACCAATAGGAATAAACAAAATCGCTTAAAGCAAATGCATTATTAGATGATGAAAACGACAAAAACGCAAAGTAAATAAATAGACTAAAATAATGCCAATGAATGAGTTTGTTGTTGTATTAATTAATTGAAAAACTGTGGAATTAATTTAAAAGTTATTAGGGGTGTTCAGCGAGATTTGTTGATATTTATCTTACTGTAAACTCATCTTTATAAAACACGGCTAGTTTGTGAAAAGCTTCTTTTCTGAAGAAAGATTTTTCAACACATACAGAGATAAGTTTGCTTAATTCTGTCAATATTTCAAACTTTTAATAAATAGGCGATCATGCGCTAAACAGAAGAAGATCATATACTAGTAACGTCATCTACTCTTTACATTGTCTTTTTCATACACTACATGACAATCTAATTTGTACACTAGATGCTAGTTAAATCCATACATTAGACGATCATTGACTAAACAATAGAATATCGTTTACTTTATACAGTGATCGAACGAATAACCTATACACTAGACGATAGTCTATTCTATACCCTAGAGGATCGTCAACTCTCTACACTAGAAGAACATCTAATCTCTAAACTTGAAGACCGTGTACTCTATTAATTAGAGCAGCGGTTCCCATCGATTTTTACTTCGCGGACCCCTTGAAGAACTTATTTAATTTCGCGGACCCACATACATATTTTGATATCTTATTGTTCTAAATAATTGTCCATCCGAAAATTGACCTAGTTCATTAATTCCTAGGTCTAATAAATGTAGAGATGTCATATCTATAAAATATTCCCGTACTTTGCGAATATATAATATTTCAGATAGGTTTTCAATTGCATGTTTTGAAGATAGAATGACTTCTTTGTTGATATGTTAACATGATGTTTAATTTTATGATCGTGAGATCTTTCATGTTCATTTTTCTTCAAGGTAGCGAAAAGGTTTCTTTATCAAATATTGTCACATGTGCTTAAGGAGTCACGTTTCAAAAATTTGTTGCGATTGCAAAGGGTGAACTGAGTAAGTGAGCTAAGTTTTCGGGAAAATAATATAAGAAAGTTGGACTTCTTCTATGTTGTTGCGGAATGCGTTATCCGCATAATATATGATTTGAACTCTTTGTTAAAGTACTGTGAATTTGGAACTTAAATTTGAATTTTAAAATACCAACGAATTATTTTACTTCATGGTTTTTGGCTACATATTTACGCGAAACGCTATGGATTTTCTGATGTTAATTTAATAATATGTATTGGTCAACAAAATCAAGTTAAAATCTGTGTATCACGTCGGATTGGAATATTTATAAAGATATACATAAAGAGTCACCTCTGTTTTGGAAATATATAATTTTAGTCCTTTCAAACAAGAACACTTTTGCTTACAATTTGATAAACTTAAATCTGTAATAAGCTTGTCTTTGAATTAAACTTCATACTCCGGTACCAGTATCCCTAATTTAATTGTAAGGCAGAGTATTATTTGTCTGAAATAAAAACCATTATTTCAGTACATATACAGGAA